TTTGTTACCACACTAATTAGAGCAGAAATTAACTGAAATGCTGAGTTTTAGCAGAGAGTGAATCAGCTGCAGGTGTCAGTAATTAGCGAAAAATGAGTCATTTGATGTTTGTAGACACACAGCCTTCTCAACTTTGATTCAAAAATAAACTTCGTGGGCACATTGTTCTGAATCACTCCTGCTAATGCATGTGTCTATCTTAATGTGGCAATTCAGTATAAATATTTTAAATAAATCAGTAACGTTGCTTTTCAGTGGCAGCACACACATGACATTTTCTGTACAAAAATGGAGTAAGGATAAAATATTTTTAGTAAGATCGGCAGAAACCTGAAAAACAGCCATACAGAAATTACTGTTTCCTTGCTCTTGCTTTTTTTCCCTCTCTCTTTCTTTTGGTTTCTTGGAGTATAAATAATTCACCTTCAATATCCTGTCCTGAGCAGGGAATGAGCAAATAAAATAAACAGAATACTGGTGAGTACCTGTAGGGTTTGGGAATGGCATTAAAAATCTCCCTTAAACTAGACATTCTCCTGTTAGTTCACTGCTTGGGAACAGCCTGAGTTCTGAGGTGGGCAGAGTAAAAAGGAAACTTACACAGAGGTAGACGGAGCTGTGTCTTCTAAAGCAAAATCTATTTCCTTATCAAACTAGATAAGTTGGCCAATTATGAGATACAAGAGCATCTGTGTGTAGAGCAGGTGGGAACAGAAGCCTGGAAATGATTTTTCCTCATGAACAGCAGTTGTGTGCACGCTGGGGTGTGTGTGTGTGATGTGTATGTTTGTGTGTGTGTATTTTAAGGCTTAGGATCAGTGCTTGCATTAACCGTAGCCCAACAGGGGACGTCCCCACCATGAAAAATGGAATACAAGTGTCTCACTCCTTTTTTTTTGGAGACAGGGTCTCACTCTGTTTCCCAGGCTAGAGTGCAGTGGTGCAATCAATCACAGCTCTTTGCAGCCTCAAATTCCTGGGCTCAAATGATTCTCCTGCCTCAGCCTCCCAAGTAGCTGGGACTATAGGGGCACACCACCATGCCCTGCTGATTTTTTAAATTTTTTGTAGAGATGAGATCTTGCCTGTGGTGCCCAGGCTGGAGTGCAGTGGTGCGATCGTGGCTCACTGCAGCCTCAAACCCCTGGCCTCAAGTGATCCTCCTGCCTCAGCCTCCTAAAGGGCTGGGATTACAGATAGGAGCCCCTGCATCCTGCCTGGTGTCTCAATCCTGAGCAAGAGAGGTGCCTGGCCCCTCCCACCCCCTGGCTTAGTTCTAGAGCATCCTGCTGCTCTGTCTCTGAAGCATGCATCTGCACACGAGCAGGTCTTGGGTTGACCAGGGTGAGTTATAGGAGGACACTCTCCTATGGCCTGTGAAAAGGTGAGGGGACTCTGGCCCCAGCCAGCCTGACAGCTTTTGTGCTCAGAAGTTGGCTGGTCAGTGATGTAGGAAGAGTTGACTCAACACATTCTCTTCCACACCTTGGCATCCTTGAGGTTGACTAGTTGAATGGATTGAAACAAAGTGAATGGGTTTAAGTCCATGAATTCATGATTCGTAAAAAAAGAAGAAAAAAAATCCCTCATTGGTCACCTTTGGAGGATAGTAGGATACCCCCTCATTATTTTGAAAACTGGTCAGTAAAAGGAAAAAAATTTAAGCCTTTATCCTACCTTTCTTATGGCAATGATACATCAGCGTGACCAAATGGTTGATAAGGGGAAGGTCCTTGTTATGGAAGTATTCTAGTTAATTAAGGAAGAGGAATGTAGAATTTGAATATCAGCATTTTACATGTCCTAATGAACTAATGGATCTAAGCAATGACCACTAAAGACTATGAACAACCTCTAAAAACGACACAAACCAAGCACTCTGTGCCCCCCAGTGGAAGGACAGGACACTACACTATGAAATATTCTTGCCAAACCCCAAAAACTGAATGTGATCAACACTAGATCCAACTACTGAGCTACAGAAAATGAAGAGGACAGAAGAACCTGTCAGATGATACCATGGAGATGTCATCATCAAAACCCAGACTGTGGCCTGTAATCCCAGCTCTTTGGGAAGCCGAGGTGGGTGGATCACTTGAGGCCAGGAGTTGGAGACCAGCCTGAGCAACATGGCAAAATTCCATCGGTACAAAAAATATAAAAATTATCTGTGTGTTGGCATATGCCTGCAGTCCCAATTACTCTGGAGGCTGAGGTGGGAGGATCACTTGAGCCCAAAAGTTTGAGGCTGTATTGATCCGTGACTGTGATACTGCACTCTAGCCTGGGGCACAGGGCAAGACCCTGTCTCAATAATAATAATAATCGCAGACTGTGCAGGCTGTGGTTAGCTCTATAGGACAAATAATCCAATTTTTTCTTTAAGTGAATTGTAAGGAAAAGAGGGAGAGGGTAATAGGTTAAAGAAGGCAAAGAGACCCACCTGCCCATCACAACATATGGATCTGATTTAGATCCCAAAGCAGATTTTAAAATAATACAAGAAAAAATATCTACGAGACAAATCAGGGAACATTGAACACTGCATATATGATTAAGGAATTATTGTGAATATCTTTAGCTGTGATACTGGTATCATGCTTATGTTTTTGAGAGATGCATACTGAAATATTTACATATTAAGTGACAGAATGACTGAAATCTGCTTCAAAAGAATCGAGGGCTCATCTAAAGTGGGTAGAGGAACAGATGAAATGAGATTGGCCCTGAATTGAAAATTATTAGGGCTGGGCGTGGTGGCTCACGTTTGTAATCCCAGTACTTTGGGAGACCGAGACCGGAGGATCACCTGAGCCCAGGAGTTCCAGACCAGCCTGGGCAACATAGTGAGACCCTCTGCCTGTACTAAAAATTAAAAAAAAATTAACCAGGTGTGATGGCTCGTGCCTGTTGTAGTCTCAGCTACTGGTGGGGCTGAGGCAAAAGGATCACTTGAGTACGGAAGTCTAGGAGGTCAAGGCTGCAGTGAGCCCCGATCACATCACTGCACTCCAGCCAGGGGAAGAGAGCGAGACCCTGTCTCAAAAATAAAAAAAATTGAAGAACTACATTTCCTTTCTGGAAACACACACACAGGCAGATGTGTTCCATGAATCCCAATACCTGGGACAGGGAGAGGCGGGATCTCTGCGGTGTGGGATGATTCTGCGCCTCTGAATGACACTGAGTGGTCTGGGTGGAACTCTGGAGATTTTCCATCTTCCAGAGCGGAAGTCGGCATGCTTTTTGTAAAGGACCCCACAGTGAATAGGTCTTTTGGGCCTTATCATCTCGGTCATAGCTACTCAGATCTGCACTGGTTGCCTGACAGGGGCCAAAGACAATATATAAATAAATCGGTGTGTCCCTGTTTCCACGAAACTTTATTTACAAAAACAAGCAGCAGACTGCATTTGCCCTGAGGCTGCAGTTTGACCAGCCCTGTCCCGTTGCTGGACAATAGAACGTTCTGTGATGACGGAAATGTTATTTCTGTGCCATCCAATATGGGAGCCATTAGTCACATGCAGTTACTGAGCACTTTGGATGGGGTTAGTCAGACTGAGGAACCCGTTTTTAATTTTTATTTAGTTTAAATTAGTTTAACTTTAAAAAGTCACGTGGAGTTAGTTGCAACCACGTTAGACAGCACAGTTCTAGAGAGCCCAGCCCAGCCATTAAAAAAGAGGAGAGGCTGGGTGCACTGGCTCACGCTTGTAATCTCAGAACTTTGAGAGGCTGAGGCAGGAGGATTGCTTGAGGACAAGAGTGTTAGACCAGCCTGGGCAACATAGCGAGACTCCGACTCTATAAACAAATTTAAAAATCGGCCAAGTGTAGTGGTGTGAGCCTGTAGTCCCAGCTACTCAGGAAGCTGAGGTAGGAGGACTGCTTGAGCCTGGGAGTTCCAGATCAGCCTGGGCAACACAGTGAGACCCTATCTCTACAAAAAGTATAAAAATTAGCCGTGTGTGGTAGCATGCAACTGTAGTCCTAGCTATACCCCACCACAGCCCCCTGCCCAGCCCCATCCGCCCTCCCTGCGGCTGAGCCCGACTGAGAGTGAAGTCCTTCATTAAATCCGTGCCCACCTTGTCCTGCGAAGGGAGGTCATTCTCATCCTGGCTACTCTGGAGGGTGAGATGGGAGGATCACTTGAGCCTGAGAGGCAGAGGTTGCAGTGAGCCAAGATTGTGCCACTGCCACTGCCCAGTGAGCCTGGACAACAGAGTGAGACCACCTCAAAAAAAACCAAAAAGAGTAAGAGGAGACACAGCCCAGGGGAAAGAAGTGATTTGTCTAAGACACGGCTCCAACCTTCGGGTTCACGCTTCTCCCTACACCATGGTAAGAAGTTGCCTGAACTCCAGAACCACCGAGCAATGAGGTGGGAGACCTGGGCTCTGATCCTCAGGCTGGGACCTGGGGAAAGTCATTCACCTTTAGTGTTCTGCTGTGTCTCCATTTGTATGAGGACCACACCCCAACCTCCTCGCCCCGTTCACCTGTGGGGGCTGCCAGGGGGATCACAGGAGACAATGTAGGCAGAGGCCCTTTGAAAACTTCAAAGAGCCCCAGGAGTTTCCGGATGTTCTGCATTAATTTATCTAATCCAAGGTAGGAAAGCGAAACGTGGGCTGCGAAAGACGAAAGATGGGAGGGAAGTCAAGTGATTCATTGTTTGGCTGGAACTCTCGCGGGTTAAATCTCGCTTTCAGTGAATTTCCTGGGGAGAATTCAGGGCCGTGTTCCAGCTAACACATTCATCCCTTTGCTTTGACTGAACCAGATTCTGGGATTGTATCAAAGCCAGCCTCCCAGGAATTGCCTGAGAACTGTCTGGGCCCCAAGCTCTCCAACCCTCCTGCCTCCACTCTGCAGATGTTCCTGCTCCCATCTCCCCAGAGCAGACCCCACCACACACCCCTGCTCAGCCCCATCTGCCCTGCTTGCAGCTGAGCCCGAATGAGAGTGAAATCCTTCATTAAATCCGTGCCCACCTCGTCCTGCGGAGGGAGGTCATTCTCATCCTCAGTCTCCTTTCCAGAGAAGGATGTAGGGGAAGGCAGGGAGGGCAAAGGCAGGGAGGTATCCTCCTGTCCAGAATTGATTCCCCTTCTGAAAGAAAGAAAGGCAAAGATGTCCCTAAAGGGGACATTAAAACTCTCAACAACACCCTCAGGCTGGGAGTCTTCTTCCCAAGGCCACGGTCAGGCCTGAGAGGTGTTCTCAAAGACCCGGCGTGAAATCCTTTTCCTAGACAAAGATGATTCCAAGCGGGAAGGGGAGCGGGGGGACCTTGCACAAGGCAAGTAACTAGGCCTGTGGGATCAAGTTCGTACCGTCTACCCTCCGTCAAATGCTGTGCTTGAAACGGTTCATGTTTTTTAAAAGGATGGCACTCTGACTCCCTCCATTCCACTCTGACCCATGATGTAATTTAGAAATCACGAGAGCTCCCCCCCAAAAAAAACAAAAAACAAAAAACAAACAACAACAACAACAACAAAAACCCCCAGCAAGATGTGCTCAGAGACCTTGGTCTGCAAATGTTTTTGCCAGATGCTGAGAACCAAGGCAGAATCCAGAGCAGTTTTTATAGGGATTTGATGTTTTGTTGTTGTTGTTGTTGTTGTTGTTGTTGTTGTTGTTTTGAGACAGAGTCTCGCTCTGTCGCCCAGGCTGGAGTGCAGTGGCCGGATCTCAGCTCACTGCAAGCTCCGCCTCCCGGGCTTACACCATTCTCCTGCCTCAGCCTCCCGAGTAGCTGGGACTACAGGTGCCCGCCACGTTGCCTGGCTAGTTTTTTTTGTATTTTTTTTTTTTTTTAGTAGAGATGGGATGTTTAACTCACCACGGAGAGGTCCCTGAACTCTCCCTGGAGAAAAAGGAAGTCGATGGAGTTGTTTGTAGGGAGAAAACTACAGCATGATGTTGGAGGGATCAGGGATCCTCCTTCAAGGGTTTAGGGGGCTCTGGGAGAGGGCCTTTCTGGACGGTTTCTTCCCTTGGCAACAGGAAGCCAGGATCACAGAGGAAAAGGGTCCAACCCAGACTTGGAGCTGGTCCCTTCGGAGGAGCCCTAGGGGGTATCCGTTAAACAGGAGCAGGTGAGCCGTGTTACAGGACCCGATCCGGACCCCAAGAGGGGGTTCTTGGATCTCATGCAAGAAAGAATTCGGGGCGAGTCCATGGAGTAAAGCGAAATCAACTTTATTAGGAAAGTAAAGGAATAAAAGAATGGCTACTCCATAGACAAAGCAGCCCCGAGGGCTGCTGGTTGCCCGTTTTTATGGTGATTTCTTGATGCTATGCTAAACGAGGGGTGGATTATTCATGCCTCTCCCTTTTAGATCACATAGGGGAACTTCCTGACGTTGCCATGGCATTTGTAAACTGTCACAGCACTGGTGGGAGTGTAGCCGTGAGGATGACCAGAGGTCACTCTGGTGGCCGTGTTGGTTTTGCTGGGGTATTGCCAGCTTCTTTACTGCAACCTGTTTTATCAGCAAGGTCTTAAGCACCTGTATCTATCGCCGACCTCCTATCTTAGAATACCTTAACCGTCTGGGAATGTAGCCCTGTAGGTCTCAGCCTCATTCTACCCAGCTCCTCTTCAAGATGGAGTTGCCCTGGTTCAAATGCCTCTGACATCGGGGTGGCGGGGTTGCGCTGCCTGGCTTCTTAACTTCCTGGCTCAGAACCCAAACCTGTTGCCTCTGGCTACACGGCCAGTGGGACTGTGACAGCTGGGACAGGAGAGCCACTCAGCTTATAAACACCTGTGAGCAGGTATCCAGTAGCCAGGGGGAGAAGCGGTGGGTAGCCACAGGGCTTCCCCGCTTAGGCAGGAAAGGACTGGCTTCCCCACCCACCCCACTCCCACCACCACTTTCTGGAACTTTCCTTAAACAACTGCTGGGCTGTTGCTATTTGCTGCTTCCTTTATTTTCTTGTTAAAACATTTTATATTTTAAATTTGTTTGCGGACCATTTCCAGAAAAAAAAATAATAATATGTATGTGGGCCACATTTATCATCTTGCACATTGTATTTATTTTTTATAATCAGAGATTGCAACGTGTGCCTCACCATGCCTTTTTCTTCTTAGTAAAACTAAACAGTTTAGTTTAATTTGGCTAATTAAAAAACACATAACTCGCATATCTGAGGCACCTAGAGTTACCAAATTCATAGAGATGGAAAGTAGAAAATAGGTTACCAGGAGCCGGGAGGAGGGTGCCATGGTTCATACTGAGTGTCAACTTGATTGGATTGTAGGATACAAAGTATCGACCCTTGTGTGCCTGTGAGGATGTTGCCAAAAGAGATGAACATTTGAGTCAGTGGCTGGGAAAGGCCGACCCACTCTTAATCTGGGTGGGCACCATCTAATCAGCTGTCAGTGTTATGCCCAGACCGTTTATCCCCGAAGAAGACCACCAGAGTCCAGAGTCAAAGCTAAGCAGCAAGGATCTTTATTACAGGTTCGAACCTGGACCCTCGACCGAATGTCGAGCGAGAGCCCCGGGGTCGGGGGGTTAGGAGCTGTCTTTTATAGTCAACAGTAAACAAGTACAGAGTCATAGGGGACTTTTGAACAACGCAAGTTTGGGATTGGTTGATATTTGAACAGTGCGAGTTGGCCGTTCTTGATTGGTTCCCGCCATTTCTGATATTTTAGTCCAACCTTTGAGGCGGGAGAGCAGTTTTACACAAAGGCAGTTAATTATATTGCGTCAGGTTACACAACCGGTTTATGGCAGCATGAGTGTATCTTACTTAAACACGTCTTGTGACCCGGCCTCAGAAAGAAAAACAGGTACTTACAGAACTTAACGAAATTTCTGGTATGTGCAGAGATAAGAGAGCAGGACCAAGGGTTTAGCAATAGGGCGGAGCGGGGGAGCGGGTACGCATTTTTGTGTCTTTGTGTCCTTTCATCAGCATGACTAGAATAAGAGTAGGCAGAAAAATGTGAAAGGAGAGACTGGCCTGGCCTCCCAGCCTCCATCTTTCTCCTGTGCTGGATGCTTCCTGCCCACCAAGTTCTTCAGTTTTGGAACTGGGACTGACTCTTCTTGCTCCTCAGCCTGCAGACAGCCTAATGTGGGACCTTGGGATTGTGTGAGTTAACACTTAATAAACTCCCCTTACATATATTCCATTAGCTCTGTCCCTCTAGAGAACCCTGACTAATACGGAGAGGGAGATGAGAGGTGGCGGAATGGGGACAGAGTTTCAGTTTGGGAAGATGAAAATATTCTAGAGGTGGATGGTGGTGATGGTTGCCCAACACTGAATAAGTTTAACGCCACTCAAATGTGCACTTAGAAATGGTTACAATGGGCCAGGCACAGTGGCTTATGCCTGTAGTCCCAGCTCCTCAGGAGGCCGAGGCGGGAGGATTGCTGGAACCCAGGAGTTCAAGGCTGCAGTGAGTTATGATTGCATCACTGCACTGCAGCCTGGGTAACAGAGCAGGATCCTGTCTCTTAGAAAATGGAAATAATAATAATTAAAAAAAATAAGGAAGAAATTATTAAAATGGTAGATTTTGTGTTATGTATATTTTAGCACAATTAAAAAGAGCATAAACATAACCAGTAGGCATTTTGGTGCCTTATTAAGATGCTGTGTGTTTAAGCTTTTGTGAGGCTGGTGTGTGTGTGTGTGTGTGTGTGGGCATGTGTGTTTGTTGTTGCTGTGTTTTATTTTCCCTGGCTGACTTGGTGAGCTCTTCATTGAAAAATCAGTCTTTCCAAGCCCATTAATATATTCTTTAAGTCCGAGGGAGAAATTACCTTTTTTAACATTGTATTTTTTAAAAGGAAATTTTTCATGGCTTATGAGCTGGACGGTCAAAATTCACACAGGGGCTCTTTGGACCACTCTCCTTTATTTTTTTGAAATGGTGTCTTGCTTTGTTGCCCAGGCTGGAGTACAGTGGCATGATCTCAGCTCACTGCAACCTCCACCTCCTGGATTCAACTGATTCTCCTGCCTCAGCCTCCTGAGTAGCTGGGATTACAGGCACCTGCTACTACACGTGGCTAATTTTTGTATTTTTAGTAGAGACGGGGTTTCTCCATGTGGGCTTGAACTCCTGACCTCAGGTGATCCACCCGCCTCGGCCTCTCAAACTGCTGGGATTACAGGCGTGAGCCACTGTGCCTGGCTGCTGGACCACTCTCCTTGAAACAGTTTTGTTCAATCCCTTTTCTCCTCTTGGCAGCGGGCACAAAATGGAGTCAAAATGTTCTTTACTGCTTGCCTTGTTGATTGACACCTGTAAACCCACAGCTTTGGGAGGTGAGAGGATGGCTTGAGGCCAGGAGTTTGAGACCAGTCTGGGCAACATAGTGAGATCTTGTCTCTGTAAAAAATTTAGAAAGTTTAAAAAAATAAAAAAAATAAAAAAAATGAAGACCCCAGAATAGAGTGCCTGGAACAGAGTTGTCCTCAGTAAATGTTGGCTATGATGATTAATCATAGTCTTTATTGTTATTGAAATTATCACTGCGACCGGGTGTGGTGGCTCACACCTGTAATCCTAGCACTTTGGGAGGCCAAGGCAGGAGGATCACTTGAGCCCAGGAGTTTCAGACCAGCCTGGGGAAGATAGGGAGACCCCATCTCTACAGAAAAAAAAAAGAAAGAAAAAATTAAAAAGAAAAGAAATACTGGCCAGGTGCAGTGGCTCATGCCTGTAATCCCAGCACTTTGAGAGGCCGAGGCAGGCAGATCACCTGAGGTCAGGAGTTCGAGACCAGCCTGGTCAACATGGTGAAACCCTGTCTCTACTGAAAATACAAAAACTAGCCGGGTATGGTGGCGGGCGCCTGTAGTTCCAGCTACTTGGGAGGCTGAGGCAGGAGAATGGTGTGAACCCGGGAGCTGGAGGTTGCAGTGAGCCGAGATTGCGCCATTGTACTCCAGCCTGGGTGACACAACGAGACTCCATCTCAAAAAAAAAAAAAAAAAGAAAAGAAAAAAGAAAGAAAAAAAAGAAAGAAAAAAGAAATGCTGTGCCGTCACTTCAGACCTGGTGATAATCTCTTTTCTCCACCCACCCACCCACCCAGTTGTATTTCCCATGGAGCCCAGTAGAGGGCAGAAGGTAGCATCTTAAGCACATCCCAGGTGGGTGGGAGGATGACACGGGATTAAGAAGCTTCTCTTTTTTTTTTCTGTCTTGTGTTCTCAACACACTTGCTTTCTCTCCTGGAGGGTGTCATCTCTTACCCACGCTGTGGAGTACATGCCTCACTTTACCCTGCAAGTAGTCCAGCTCAAAAGGCAGCCATTTCTTTCCCATGAGCAAGGGGCCTCCCCTTTTGGGGCTTTCCCTTTAGATTGGGCAGGTCTGGAGATTCCTTCCCTTCTTCCCTCCTTGGGAGGGGTGCTGTTTAGCTTGGGTTCGTGAACCCCAGTGATACGGCTTGGCTGTGTCCCCACCCAAATCTCATCTTGAATTCCCACGTGTTATGGGAGGGTTCCGGGGGAGGTAATTGAATTATGGGGGCAGCTCTTTCCCATGCTGTTCTCGTGATAGTGAATAAGTCTCACAAGATCTGATAGGCTTTTTTTTTTTTTTTTAGACAGAGTTTCACTCTTGTCACCCAGGCTGGAGTGCAATGGCACCATCTCAGCTCACTGCAACCTCTGCCTCCCAGGTTCAAGTGAGTCTCCTGCTTCAGCCTCCCAAAGTAGCTGGGATTACAGGCACCCACCACTACACCCAACTAATGTTTTTGTATTTTCAGTAGAGACCGGGTTTCACCATGTTGGCCAGGCTGGTCTTGAACTCCTGACCTCAGGTGATCCACCTGCCTCAGCCTCCCAAAGGGCTGGGATTACAGGCATGAGCCACCACGCCGGCCAAGATCTGATAGTTTTATAAAGGGGAGTTTGCCTGTAGAAGCTCTCTTTGCCTGCCGCCATCCATGTAAGACGTGACTTGCTCCTCCTTGCCTTCCACCATGATTGTGCCTCCCAAGCCATGTGGAACTGTGGGTCCATTAAACGTCTTTCCTGTATAAATTACCCAGTCTCGGGCATGTCTTTATTAGCAGTGTGACAACGGACCAGCACACCCAGAGAAGCTCTTCTCAAGTCATGAGAAGCACACAGATCATCTGAAAGTCCCAAGGGCATATGTGGATTCTGACTCAGGAGGTGCAGGTTTTGAACCAAGTTCCAGGGAATGCTTGCCAGTGCATGGACAACCACCCCTCCAGCTGCAAGTCTACAACCTTCAGAGTATCACTGGACAAGACCCCACAGGACCTTGTGTGTGGGGAAGACACAAGAGTGGGCTCTGACCCCAGACACTACCCACTGGGCGCGATAGGGAACGTGGCAGGCTTGTCACAGCTCCCAGTCAGTGGAGAAATCCCTCTGGCTACGAGAGCCATATGCTCTGTTTATGGGGAGAGAGGAGCTGGTAGCCACGGAGGATGGAGTGGACTGGCTCAGAAGCATGCAGGACCAATTAGGAGCACTCCTCAGATTCTCTGCAATGTGAACTGCCTAGGGCATCAGTAAGGCCCCAGGGAGTGCTCTGGGCGAGAGAAGGTTCAGGACACACCTCACAAAGTCCTGTGTGCTTTCTGTTCTTTGAAATGTTCCCCTCTAACAAGGAAACAGAAATGACTTTTGCCTTCTGTCTCTCAGTCCAAGTCTAACCAGAACTTTTTCTTTCTTTCTTTCTTTTTTGAGATAGGGTCTTGTTCCGTCACCCAGGCTGGAGTACAGTGACGCAATCACGGCTCACTGCAGCCTCTACCTCCCAGGTTCAAGTGATTCTCCTGCCTCGGCCTCCCAAGTAGCTGGGACTACAGATGTGTGCCACCACACCTGGCTAACTTTTGCATTTTATTTATTTATTTATTTTTGGTAGAGATAGGGGTCTCACTATCTTGCCCAGGCTGGGCTTGAACTCCTGGGCTCAAGTGATTCTCCTGCCTTGGCCTCCCAAAGTGCTGGGATTACAGGTGTGAGCCGCCATGCTCGGCCTAACCAGGACTTCCTTGGATTCACATATGCCTGGCTCCTGGGAGGAATGAAGTGAATTCTTACCTGCTGGGGGATAGAGGAGGGGCACAGAGCCTGTGTTTTTACACCAAGGACTGTGCGGGGCCCTACAGACCTGCCTTTCCCTGCCCAACCTCCTTCTCTGGCCAAGACAACACTGCAGGTTCACTGTGGCAGGTGATTACAATGGACAGAGGGTTGGTTCCCGTACTCCATCTACCAGTGGTGACACGTCCTTCCCCGCTCAGCTCACCTGCTCCCCCAGCTCTTTGAAGAAATCTCAGTAATTCACTGAGATCAGAGTCTATCACCCAAGCATCTGAAACTGTAGCACACCAGGGAGCCTGCCAAGAAGGCCTACAATCAGATAACACATTCCAGCCGGGAGACCAGAGACTGTTCCAGAGGAAGGGTTAAGCTCCCCAGGTAGTTAGTGGAAATCAAAGAACTGCATGCTCTCATTATCTCATAACAAACATATCAGGTTAATAGCTGTCGCTGCTTCTCCAAACCACGTGTGTTGTGTTTTGTGAGTGCTGACATGGGGCGTTCTTTCTCCCACCGTATCTACAGCTTGACAGTATCGTCGTGGTTCGGTGCTGGAGTCTCCTAAAGTGTTTTGCATACTGTCTCCTGCACGTTGCCTAGAAGGATTTTAAATAATTGCTGTGTTTAATGGGAACTCCTTCCTCTCTCTAATCCCCTCCTGTAGAAAAGCTGGCCAGTGTGCCCCGGAGGCCATTTATTTAGAGTAGGAATGAAAGTGGAGCGTGGAAAGTGGAGCATCCGAAAGACTGTCCGCTTGTCCTGAGCTGGCCAGGAGTGACAGTGGATGTCTGGCTGTCCCGGACCACCCCTTCCCATGGCTCCTCCAACTTCCTCTCTCCTGCTTGCACCCTGGAGCTTCCTTCCAAGCAGGATGGGGGTGGGGGTGACAGAGACGGCCCTGAAAGGCAGGGACTGACTGTGGGGGACCCACAAGTCTTGTCAGGCCCCTCCCTTCCCGTCAACCCCTGAGTGATGCTGGGGCCCCTGGGCAGGTGCTTCCAGGGCTTAGGACACAAGGACATGAGTCTTGTGTGAATTTTGTGAATTCTGTGTGAATTTTGGCTGTCCCTCTCAGGACCACTTTGTCCTATCCAGGGATAAAGTGGTTGTGAGGACAGGTGTGAGCAAGGCAGTCACTAGACCTGGAGGCGGGGGGTAGGCAGCCCCCTTGACAGGACCCCATGAAATTCTTGCACGTGGAGATTTTATTTGCACAGGCCCTGGAATTCCACAAAACAGCCGTGACAAAGCTGGTAGCACCTCCGTCCATGAGAGAAGACTGAAGCTTCAGGCTCCTGGGTGTCCATCAGGTCTGACCAGCGCCTGTCATGCTTGGTCTGGGTGGCTCTGGGCCTGCCTGATGTCCTTCTGCTGACTGGTCTTGGCCGGCTCCAGGACTGGGACCCTCCTGGGGGTGGCAGAAGCCCCTGAGCTTGAGGCCTAGAGGGCACACCTCTGACAGCAAGGCAGCAGGAGCCTGCGCTGAGGTCGGACTGGGCAGGAAATGCAGCTCCCATTTTTACCAGCTGTGTGACCTTGAACTACCTTCCAAACCTCTCCTTGCTCTTGTTATGGGTGGAATTGCTCTGCCCAATAAGGTAAGCTGGAGTCTTAACTCTAAGACCTTCCTTGGAGACAAGGTCTTTATAGAGGTAATTCAGATGAGGTCATTTGGCCAGGCGCGGTGCTTCATGCCTGGAATCCCAGCACTTTGGGAGGCTGAGGAGGGAGCCTCGATTGACCCCAGGTGTTTGAGACCAGCCTTAGCAACACAGTGAGACCTCATCTCTACACAATTTAAAAAAAAATTACCTGGGCATGGTGGCACGCATGGCATGTACCTACAGTTCCACCTACTTGGGAGGCTGAGGCAGGAGGTTTGCTTGAACCCAGGGCTTGGGGCTGTAGTAAGCTATGATCGTGCCACTGCACTCCAGCCTGGCTCACAGAGTGACATCCTGTCTCAGAACAAGAACCACAAAAAGATGAGGTCATTAAGATGGATGGACATTAACCCAACATAACTGTAGTCTTACGAAAAGGAGAAATTTGGACAGAGACGGCAGGCTTAGGGAAGAGTAGAGCGTGGAGACACAGGAAGAGTGTCACGTGGAGATTGGAGTGATGAGGGTGCAAACTAAGGAAGGTCTGTGGCTCCCAGCAGCTGGAACAAGCAAGGGACGGTCCTTCCCTGCAGGCTTCCGAGGGAGCATGGCACTTGACTTTGGACTTCTGGCCTGCAGAACCATGAGAAAATAAGCGTCTGGTTTTTTTGTTTGTTTGTTTGTTTTTTGAGATGGAGTCGCTCTGTCGCCCAGGCTGCAGTGCAGTGGTCAGATCTCAGCTCACTGCAAGCTCCGCCTCCCGGGTTTACGCCATTCTCCTGCCTCTGCCTCCCGAGTAGCTGGGACTACAGGGGCCCGCCACCTCGCCCGGCTAGTTTTTTGTATTTTTTAGTAGAGACAGGGTTTCACCGTGTTAGCCAGGATGGTCTTGATCTCCTGACCTCGTGATCCGCCCGTCTAGGCCTCCCAAAGTGCTGGGATTACAGGCTTGAGCCACCGTGCCCGGCCTTTTTTTTTTTTTTTTGAGACAGAGTCTTTGCTGTGTTGCCCAGGTTGCAGTGCAGTGGCACGATCTCTGCTCACTGCAATCTCCGCCTCCCGGGTTCAAGCGATTCTCCTGCCTCAGCTTCCTGTGTAACGGGGATTACAGGCACCTGCCACCACGCCCAGCTAATTTTTGTATTTTTTTTTTGTATTTTTTTGTTTCTTTGTTTTTGTTTTTTTTTTGTTGTTGCTGTTGGTTTTTGAGACGGAGTCTCGCTCTGTCACCCAGGCTGGAGTACAGTGGCAAAATCTCACTGCAACCTCCATCTCCTGGGTTCAAGCGATTCTCCTGCCTCAGCCTCCCGAGTAGCTGGGATTACAAGTGCACGCCACCACGCCCAGTTAATTTCTGTGTTTTTAGTAGAGACAGGGTTTCACCCTGTTGTCCAGGCTGGTCTCAAAATCCTGACCTCAAGTGATCCACCTGCCTTGGCCTCCCAAAGTGCTGGGATTACGGGCGTGAGCCGCCGCGCCTGGCCAGTGTCTGTTGTTCTAAACCACCAAGTGTATGGTAGGTGGTGATGGGATCCCTAGGAAACGAATACAGCCACAGGTGGGTCGTGCTAAGGAGATGATAATACAAACCCCAGGGTGGTTGTGGGATGACATGAGATCACAGGATGCACTTAGCATGCTGCTGGGCACTAGAGACAGGCTCTGGAACTGACAGCGTCTATTCCCCAGGGACCGGGGGCCCTTTTCGCAACCTGCTGAATATTAGCTTGACCTTGGAGCTGCACTACTTCCATTTTATTTCATGATATTTTATTTTGCTGACTGGGAGTGAGAGAAGGGCAGGGAACTCAGAGACCCTGCATGTAAATGTATGTAAAATTTGAAATGCAATTTAGAATGTGGAGCCGAGAGCCCTGAAACTCAAAAAGCATTCCGCCCCACACCCATCCCTGTTCCCACTCACAGGGGTTGCCATTCTGGGTAGGAACCTGGCTGTGGCTGCCAGCCAAAGCTCATGAGAAAGGCACGGAACAGGACCAGGTAGGTGGCTCTGATCACAGGCGGCAAAGCGGTTACAGATTCCTTTGCAAATAAGCCACCCCATCGTCTTTTGCTATCTCCTTTCTGGTGCCTCTTCCCTCCCCCACCTCATCCACCTCCCCTTCCTAACAGATCCAACTTGCAAAGATTCCTGGCTTCTATGCACCTCTTGCAGCATACTAATTAAATGTTTCAAATGCTTCTTATCCATGGTTAAGTGAAGATAAAATTTTAATGATTTAATTAGCAAGCTCTAGGAAAAAAAAATCATAATGAAGAAAGGCATTTGCAACTGTCCTGGGTTTTAAGCGTTTCTGTGTAATGCTGCAATGGAGTTGGACGAGGCTGGGCCTGCAGTGTGCTTTGCCACGCTGCCTGCAAGCAGAGACACCCCCAACTTGCTCCCCAGAGACAGAGGGTGTCTCTAGCCAGGCTGGCTCTCATCTTTTGAAGGGAAAATGGCACCCTGGAAACGAGGGACCCATTAACTCAGAAATGAAGTGGAAATGCTTGAAAACGGATGCTGTTTTCCAAAGTAGACTCTCGAAGTCGGTCCATTTTTCACACGTCCTCATGACTTTTTTCGTTTTCCTTTTAGTGTGTGGCTCTCTTCTTTTCAGCACGGGTAACTGATTTACTTCCAGCCACGTGAATGTTCAGAGTTTACTAAGAGAAAACTCTCATGGCTTCAGGGAGGATGGGATTTAAATGGAAAAATTAATTGCCTTGTTTGAAGACTTTTGGTGTTTTGGAGCCTCGGGAGGCTCCCACCATTCGAAGTATTTTGTTGTTGTTGTTGTTGTTATTGTTTGTTTTTGTTTTGTTTTGTTTTTTAATACAAAGTGGTTGACACTGAGAGACCTTATGTAGACCGATCCTTCTCCAAGAGGCGCTAGCCTTCCCTGAGTGCCCCTACTTCCACCATCGGGATCCTCTGTGCACCCTGTTCTGTTCACTGACAACTGGCCTCCTGTGCAGATCCACAAGTTCCCCAAATGGCCTTGGAAGACGCAGGGTGTGCCATGTTGGTTCAGCAGAAAATATCATGTCCCGAGAAACCAGTGGACGGCGTCACCCTGGCCAATCTCTGGCACAGGGAACTGCAATGTGTGTGCCAAGCTGCTTGGAGAACTGGCTCTGGAAGCAGAGCCCCTGGTGCCCAGACTAGATGCAGGACCAGAAACATGTGTTCCTTGTCCTCCGGGGCGCGGAGGACACCTGCCTGCACCGGGGCTCCTGCTCCACCTGCCCTGCGCTGAGGCCCCACGCGCCACGCACCACGAAGGCAGCAACGAGTGTTTACCCCATTTCCCCTGCATATGGGACAGGACTTTCTAAACAGGTTGCTAATAAGCAGTTGAATAAAGGTGCAGCAGCTGCCGTCAGTGCTCGCCTCTCAAGCCCCCTCTTTATCTCCTCTGTCCTGGCCATTTGTACTCACCACGACTTTCCTTTGCTATGTTCAGACCCTTTGATGCCTCGGGTCTTTCTGACCCTGGAGGGACTGTGCCTCCCTCCCAGGGCTAGCCGATCCCTAGAGATAGTAAATGACTCACCTGTGAGTATAGCTTTCATCTGCAAACCAACCAGCCCATCTCCGACCACCTCCTCTGTGGGGCTCTCACACTCTGGCCACCCATCCAACCTGCCCTGACCACGCCAGAGCCAGGTACTGGATAACAAGGGGCAGCTCCTGGGCCCCGGAGCCCACTGAAATGATCCAAACAGCCAACCTGAAGCCTGCTCGCCCTGCCTCACCTGTGCCTTCCCTTGGAAACCACCACAAAGGCTCTCACACACTTCCTCCCACCCCCTCTGTCTCCAGACTGACCCTGGGCCTGCTTTTTGCGGCCCCGTGTGACATGTCCTGGGATCTGTTAGTATAAAAAGCCTTTTTTCATGACTGTCATTTCTGTGTCTATGTGTCTTACCATACCTGAATTAAGACAAATCCCAAGAAACCTTAAAACACCAGCCAGGCACGGTGGCTCACGCCCATAGTCCCAGTGCTTTGGGAGGCCGAGGTGGGGCGGACTGCTTGAGGCCAGGAGTTCAAGACCAGCCTAGGCAACATAGTGAGACCCTGTCTCTATATAACATTAGAAAATTAGCTGGGCATGGTAGCACGCTCCTGTTCTAGGTACTCAGGAGGCTGAGGTGGGAGGATTACCTGAGCCCAGGAGGTGGAAGCTGCAGTGAGCTGAGATGGCACACCACTGCATTCCAGCCTGGATGACAGAGTAAGACCTTTTCTCAAAACAAAACAACAAAAAAAGCCACTATCGTAATGCACTGCCCTTACTTCCAGCTGCCTGGGGGCCCTCTCTGGCCTGTGGGGTCCAAAAGAACCTGAGACTGGATGGCCTTCTTCATTCAGTAACACTCAGCCAATGACTGATATATATATATATATGTGCAATATAACTGATATATATATAATATAAATATAACATATATCAAAATACAGTGTAAGGCTGGGCATGCTATAATCCCAGCACTTTGGGAGGCCAAGGTGGGTAGATTACCTGAGGTCAGGAGTTCGAGACAAGCCTGGCCAACATGGTGAAACTCTGTCTCTACTAAAAATACAAAAATAAGCCAGGCATGGTAGCAGGCACCTGTAATCCCAGCTACCTGGGAGGCTGAAGCAGAAGAATCTCTTGAACGCGGGAGGTGGAGGTGGCAGTGAGCCGAGATAGCGCCACTGCATTCCAGCCTGGGAGACAGAGCAAGACTCTGTCTCGTAATAAAACAAAACAAAACAAAAAACAATATAAATATAACTATACATATCCACACACCACACTGGAGTTGGAGCCACTCTGAGGACATGGTCTACACTGAGTCACTAATTCTGAACCCAGCAGGATGAAGCCCAGGTGCCTTGGCGGTGGTTGGCTCAGTAACACACTCTCTATTACAGGCTCCTCCCCTCCCGCCTCACTTATCTACTCCCCTATGCTTTCCCGGGCCACCTCCCAAATAAACTACCTGCATTGGCATCAGCATGTCAGGATCTGCTCCTGGGAAATTTCAAACTCAGGCAGAATGAATGAATGAGAATACATCATTCCCAGATAGGTATCCCCTCATCCCCCATGGAAGGAAGCGTGCCACCTGCCAGCCTGGTCCGAGCAGCCCAGAGGCTCTCCAGCTTCCTCTTGTAGTATGTACTTTGGTTCCCAAATCTGAAATTCTGTCAATCAGATTCTCTCTTTCTTTGGAAGTCAAACAAAGAAACAAGGACTTGATTTGACACTTGGCAGTGAGACCAAAGGCATGGAGAGAGGCTGAGTCATGGCCGTGGTGGCGCTGTAACCAGGACCCCTTCTCAGATCAGACTGTGTGCAGCCCGGCCCCAAGAGCTGTGTTGGGTGTGCTTAAGAGCTATAGATATCCAACCCTGCGATCCACCTGTTCCTTTCGACTCTCAGCCCAGGAGGCTGATCTTCACGGACAGTATCAATGGCCTACCCTGGTTCTGGCTTCCCACTTGGCTCACTCAATGAGGATGCCCAGAAGCAATTCAGAGGGACAGAAGGAGCAAGGCCAGGGTGTTGATGCCCAGCTCTTTCCTCATGGGGTCACCTTAGGCCTACCAGCCACGGGCCCCGCCAACCATGGCTCCACCAACCATGGGCCCACCAATCACAGGGCCTGCCAACCCTAGATCAAAAATATTGTAAAAAAAGAAAATACAACAATAAAATAATACAAATTGCTAAAACAATGCAGTATAACAACTATTTACAAAGCACTCACATTGTTTCTGGTACTATAAGTAACCTAGAGGTGATTTAACGTATACAGGAAGATGTGTGTGGGTTACACGTAAATAATATGCCCTTCTATATCAGGAATTTGAGCATCTGCAGATTTTGGTATCCGTGGGGGATGCTGAAACCAATCTGCCGTGGGTACAGAGAAAGGACTCTTATCTCTTTCTTCAGCCCTTTGTGGCTATCTTAACCCAAGTTTACCATCTTTCCTGATGCATCCTGGTGGAGACATCCCTTTTGCTTGGGCAAGCCTGTGTGGGTCTCTGTTTCTTGCAATCAAAGGCATGGTTTTGGGGCTCAAGAGATGAGTGTCATGCCTAGAGAGCCCACATTCCAAGAAGCGTGAGAACGCGGGATCCTCTCCAGGGTGTCTTGGCTCTTTTCTGTCTGCTTTAACTCCCCAAAGAACCCCATTCCTTTTTTTCCAGAGAGGAGGACTCAAGGATGAGATATTTCTGCCAAAAAGCCTTTTTCTGTCATTAATACGTTAACAAATGCTGTCAAGTAACAGTCGCGGTCGACAGAATTTGCTATTGGCAGAGGCTGCGCGCTGCCAGACAAGCCTGTGTCTATTCCACACAAGCCCGGCTCCCTCCATCAGGAGATCTTGGCATCAGAGGTCACCAAGACCCACAGGGGGACCTACCTACCCTGTCAACAGTGACAATGTCTCATGTATGAATAATGCCTTCACGGAGCATTTCTAAATTCCTTCCTTCAAAGGTGGCAGTGGAGATTCCAGGAGTAGGGCAGTGGGAGGGAGGCACCTGCCCATGCCTGGAGGCAGGGAGAAGTGGGGACAGGAGGGACGAAGAGTGGATATGAACACCAAGCACAGGGGAGAGGCGATGAGGGCAGGACAAGCCAGATCCAGATGCAAGAGGTGACATGGACTAAAGAAAGATTCAAAGGAGATGAAAACGTCAATACAAAGGAAATAGGTGGCCTGAAAAATCAATGGTGGTGCTCAAGGGTCTTAGGAATCAATACTAGAATCACATGCCAAGAAACAATGGGTGGGGGTGTTGTGGGCGGTGCAGACGAGCCAGACATGTGCACCAGGGAAGACTGAACCATCCATAGGAATGGGGTGTATTGGTTAGCTACCACTATAAAACTGCTGCGTAACAAACGACCCCAAAACTCAGTGGCTTAAAACAGTAGTTATTTTGGCTGGGCGTGGTGGCTCTCACCTGTAATCCCAGCACTTTGGGAAGCCAAGGGGGGGCAGATCACAAGGTTAGGAGATCGAGACCATCCTGACTAACACAGTGAAACCCCGTCTCTACTAAAAACACAAAAAATTAGCTGGGTGTAGTTGTCAGCACCTGTAGTCCCAGCTCCTCTGGATGGAGGCTGAGGCAGGATAATGGTGTGAACCCAGGAGGCGGAGCTTGCAGTGAGCTGAGATTGCACCACTGCACTCCAGCCTGGGTGACATAGCGAGACTCCATCTCAAAAACAAACAAACAAACAAACAAACAAAAAACCCAGTAGTTATTATTCTCATTGGTCAGAGGGCCAGCAGAGGCTTGGATGCTTGGGTGTGCTAGACTGGACTTGGCCAGAGAGGCTCTGATCCACGCATCTCTTGTCTTCCTCCTGAGACAGTGGGCTGGCCAGGCATGCTCTGCTCATGATGATGGCAGAAAGATCAGAGAACAAGAGCAAAGGCGTGGGCGCTCTTGAAGCCTAGGTGCACCATCACACCCACCTCATTCCACTGGGGAAAGTAAGTCCCATGGGTAAACGCAAAGCCAGGATATGGAGAAACAGATCCCATCCCTTTCATGGAAGAACTGCAAAGTCAACAGCAAAGGGCATAGATACAGGCAGGGCAGAGATGTAGTCTGTAATGATGGGCAAAGGGGAGAGAGGCAGGCATGAAGATGGCAGCTGGGGGTTCATTTGCAAGCATGGATTTGCCTGGTTAGCTCTGGTTCTCTGCTCCCTTCTTTCTGGCTCTTTCTTTTTCTGGTCACTGGGCTATAAATTTGCAGCGCAGGACTTGATGACATCCTCCTTATGGGAGGTCTTGGCACCCCGATGGGCAGCTGTTCAGGCAGTCCACAGGTATTTACTGTGGACCTTCTGAGTGCTAGGTTCTGTGGAACAGGAGGACAATTCCTCATTCCTTTATTGGTTCAATTATTTAGTATTCTGTAAGTGTGTGAATGACCAAAGGAAGGAAAGATAGGGTCATAAGTTTTAAATTCTTTTAAAAACTCTCAGGGCTGGGCACGGTGGCTCATGCCTATAATCCCAGCACTTTGGGAGGCTGAGGCAAGTGGATCACTTGACTTCAGGAGTTGGTGACCAGCCTGGCCAACATGGTGAAACCCCATCTCCACTAAAACTACAAAAATTAGCCAGGCGTGGTGGTGCTTGCCTGTAATCCCAGGTACTTGGGAGGCTGGGCAGGAGAATCACTTGAACCTTGGAGACAGAGGTTGCAGTGAGCGGAGATCACGTCACTGCACTCCAGCTTCGGTGAAAGAACGAGACTCTGTCTCAAAAACAAAACAAAACAACCCCCAAACTCTCAGTATCTGAAAATGCCTCTAATTTATTTACTTACTTATCTCTTTTTTTTTTTCCATAACCTGTGACATAGAAGGCAAGGGCCTCTAAATTCTAAAAACAAAAACAAATACAACCCAAAACCTTAGTGTTTGTGGAAACTGGGAGGTGGGGGAAATCAATCTAATTTCAGATTTAAACCTTCAGACTTTTCCAGGGGAGGTTAATACGGCTTCCTCAATTTACCGATTACTCTGAGACCTTCCACCTACAATATCCTGTCCCCCTACTGTGCATACTCCCAGAAAACACAGTTCCGGTTTTCGTGCTCTCTCTACAACGTCTCTCTGACTTGCATTTGTATTCTGAGACCCGGAATAGCTCAAGTCAGATAAGGCTCAAACCACGGACTTCACAAGCCCAGAGCCAGGAGGTTACGGTGTGAAATGCTCTCTGCCCAGCTCCACGCTGGGTACAACACATTTGCACCAGAATCCGGATGCAGCCCCCCAAATGCAACCCAAGTAACTCCCCATTCCCCACAGGGCTCTGTTTGAGTCACGTTGTCAGAAACCATCCATTACGTGACAGTGAAAAATAATGCCAACGTTGGATTTTTTTCTCTCTTAAAACATTAAAAGAGATAAAATTGCAACCAGCAACAGGCCTTTAAAAAAGAATCAATAACAAAAACCTTCATTTTTGCTTCCCCGGGTGAAAAGAAGTCTCCTGTTTTCCTACCTGTCAGCTCACTTTCCTTTCCCAGGCTTGCCTGGGCTCTCAGCCATCAATAGTTCTTCCCCCCATTAGCAATGGTGGCTGCCTTCCCCACCCTCCCACTGGCCTGCTGGGCGGCTCTAGGAAGGCTGGAGGACTCACTCAGATGCTCCCTGCCCCCTCTCCTACCTCATCCCTAGGAGTCCTCCCGGGAAGGATTGTTCTTCCCTCACTCTGACTCACAACACCCTCCCCACCTCACCCCCTTTAAATCCTCCAGGGAAACTTCTGGCTAATAAAATTCCTCACCTCGTCACATTGATCAAGCGCTGGTTGGGAGCCCTGAGTGTGTTTGGTGCTTCGGATCCACCCTAAATACCCCGCAGTAAATTCTGCTCGGGGATTTGTATCCGGGTGTTGCAATGTATTCCAGGGATGACACCCTGTTTTCTGAGCATCATTCGGAAGATTTTCGCACGGCTTCCAATCTGTTCACCTCTCGCTTTGCAGCCCCATGTGGCTCCCTGGTGGGAAATTGACTGGGAGAAGTGAGTCAATAAATCAGGGATGGCGCACCACATTTTTGTTTACTCCACTTAAACCGGTATTTACTGGGGAGTCCTCCTCCCGGGGCCCCTACCTCCTCTCACACAAGGGTGGGTGTTTAAATGGCACTCACACAGGGCGAAACACTTAGGATCCTCATCATGAGAAAGCATAATGGGACGGAGCAGATGGCGAGATTTCCCAAAGCAAACCTCCTCAGTCCATTACATATTTTATCGATCTGACCCAGGGGCTCTCTGCCTCTCTGTTAGAGCCCCGAGGAGGGGCTCAGTTTTCCTGCTTTTAGACGTCCCTAAGTCACCGTCATCATCTTTCTGGATTAGCACAAAGGCTGGCAGCCCTGTTCCTCATTTTCCTCCTCGGGAAGGCTGAGGACACAGGCCTCATTACGGGGGCTACTGGCCCGCAGAAAAATTCTTTGCCCCCACTGATAGAAAATGAAAAGGGGGCTTTAGAGGCTGCCCAGAGAATTGGAGGCATCCGCTGTGTCCCTAGGGTCACTGGTCGTCTCTGCACCATTCATCTTGCTGACAGACCCCAGCTAGGGTGTCTACGCAGGTTGAGCCCACATGCCCAGGGAATTGTACAATTTCAGATCTGTTCGCTTGCAGGCTCTGCTACAGGGAAGAGGGAAGGCTGGGGCTAGAGAAAGGGGGCTAGAGAGATTGTGCTACCTCTTGTGAGGCAGAATTCAGGTTCTCAGGGCTTCTCTTGCATGAGAGGGTCCTTCCCTAAGTGCAGGGGAAATGTCTCCCAAAGCCCGGCCACACAACACAGGGGCTGACACAGAGACCCCAAGCTAGACCTTGACCTCCACTGCCCCTGAGAAAGCCCGCCCAAATGCAAAGACAAACAAAAGGAATTGATTGTTGGCTTTTGAACTTCTTAAGGTCCTTTCCAAGCGTTATATTGACTGTACGTGATTTTTACTTTGCAGAACTTTAGTTTGTAGAATCTGAACTCCAGTGAAATGTTGACTGGGTGTGATGGCTCACACCTATAATCCCAGCGCTTTGGAAGGCCAAAGCCGGAGGATTGCTGGAGCCCAGGAGTTGGAGAACAGCCTGAGCAACATAGCGAAACCCGATCTCTACAAAAAAACAAAACCAAAAGCAAAACACACACACACATAAATGAGCCAGGTGTGGTGGTGGCACATGCTTGCAATTCCAGCTACTTGGGCGGCTGAAGTAAGAGGATTGCTCAAGCCCAGGAGGTTGAGGCTGCAGTGAGCTATGATCGCACCACTGTACTCCAGCCTGGGTGACAGAGCAAGACCCTGCCTCAAAAAAAAAAAAAGAGAGAGAGAGAGAGAAAGAAGTGTGACTTTACTGTACTGGTTATTAGTTAGCAAGCAAAGTCTCCTGAAGTGGTGCCCTGGTTTGAGAAATGTGGGATAATAGCTTATGATATCCCCAACCTATCCCCCACTCCCTAATCCCCCACCCCCACCAACGAGTGTGCTTTTGGAATTCTCTGATCAGGGCTGACAATCGACTCCAGGGGTCAGCAACAGGGGATGAGGCAGCTGGGGGGGGTGTGGTGGGAGCCACCGACTCCCACCATCAGCCTGACGATTCCGCTATGCAAAAGCCTTCAGAACATTCGATAACATCTGTGTCGTGGGTTAAATGGTGTCCCGTCGAAGGGGAAGTTGAAGTCCTCACCTCCAGTACATGAGCATGCGATTTTATTTGGAAACAGGGTCTTGCAGATGTCATCGGGATAAGATGAGGTCACACCGCATTGGGGCAGGCCCTAAATCCGATGACTGATGTTCTTATGAGAAGAAGAAAATGTGGACACAAGCACACACAGGGAGAATTCCAGGTAGAGACGGAGGCAGAGATCGGAGTGATGTGTCTACATGCCAAGGAACTCCCACGATAGCAATTACTGGGAGCCAGGAGAGAGCCATGAAACAGCTTCGCCCTCACAGCCTGCAGGAGGAACCAGCCCTGGCAGCACCTTGACTTTGGGCTTCTGGCCTCCAGAACTGTGAGAGAAGAAGTTTCTGTTAAGCCACAGCCCTTGGTCAATTGTTTCAGCAACCCCAGAAACTGATACCATCTTCCTCTGGGGAATTCCAGCCCCCATGCCTTGGGGACAAATAGACTCAGAGACTATTGGGAAGGTGATCTGGGGGGACCCGTCCAGATGTCACGTGCTCCTACCTTCTGACCCTGCTGTTCCTCTACTAGGAATTGATCCTACAGATGGATTCACAGAGACACTCAGAAGCATTTCACAGCATCTTCTTTCCAGCATTGTAGAGATTAACAAAACAACCCCAAGTCCATAGGAGTACACTTAAATAACGATGGTATGTTCACTCCGTGGAATATTATGCAGTCATGAAAAAGAATAAGAAAGTTATTTATGTGCCACTAGGGAACAATATCCAAGACATATTGTTAAGTAATAAAAGAAACCCCACATAAAACAGAAAGCAAGGTACCAGAGTACAGTATGTTAACCATTTTGAAACTAAAATAATATATACCCAATAGATTTGTGTTATTTCTAGTAACTATGTTCTATAAAGTCACTATGATCACTGAATTAGCAAATCCTGAACCACTGCTCCTTGGGGAAATACAGGGTTAGGTTATTTCAAGCCTCTGGTCACATTTTTATCAACCCAACAATACAGAACCCCGCTTTATGTGTGTTTCTCTTTAATGACACCTTATTTTATAGATATTGTTGGTTCATTCACACTGAACTCATGGCCAGCAACACTATAATTCACGCCTGAACACAAATAATTTCTCCGTGGGGCACATCACAGCCTTTCTGTGTGTAGGACCCTGGACAGCACTTCAATGCTATGCCTGGGGGACATTAACACAGCAAAATCGCTATCAGAAAACATGAAAATAAGAAAAATGTGGCATTAAACGGGCCTCAAAAAGGACACTGAACAAGAAGGCAGGGTGTCACCTTGCTCAGCCTCAGCTGGGACCGCGTATGGAGGATGACTCAAATCTTTCATTTCTTTGTGCATGTTTCCGATTAACCTGGAAAACCCTAAGAGTATTAATTTCAGGGTTGCAAATAAATGTTAGCAAGTAGGTGAATTCCCAAGTACGAAATCCACAAATGTGAAAGATAGACTGTTCGTGCACATGTGTATAAGCAGGACATGAAGGAATAGTTACAGGTACAGACAGCTCTTCTGGAAGGACACACACATTGGTAACAGTCTCTGCTTCCTTGGGCAGAAGGAAAAGGGGTCGGGAGAAGGAGAGTGACTTACCTCTTACTGTATTTCCCCTTTTGTACTGCTTCAAATTTTTACCCTGTGCAAGCAATACCTAACTTTTTAAAACCTAAATGTTGTAGGCTGGGCGTGGTGGCTCATGCCTGTAATCCCAGCACTTTGGGAGGCCAAGACAAGTGGATCACTTGAGGCCAGGAGTTCAAGACCAGCCTGGACAACGTGGTAAAACCCTGTCTCTACTAAAAATACAAAAATTAGCCGGGTGTGGTGGCGGGTGCCTGTAATTCCAGCTACTCAGGAGGCTGAGACAGGAGAATCGCTTGAACCCAGGAGGTGGAGGTTGCAGTGAGCCAAGATAGCACCATTGCGCTCCAGCCTGGGTGACAAGACTGAAACGTCATCTCAAAACAAAACAAAACAAATAAAACCTAAATTTTTTTTTTAAAGTTCTTGCGCCGGGCGCGGTGGCTCACGCCTGTAATCCCAGCACTTTGGGAGGCCGAGGCGGGCGGATCACAAGGTCAGGAGATCGAGACCATGGTGAAACCCCGTCTCTACTAAAAAATAGAAAAAAAAATTAGCCGGGCGCAGTGGCGGGCGCCTGTAGTCCCAGCTCTCGGGAGGCTGAGGCAGGAGAATGGCGTGAACCCGGGAGGCGGAGCTTGCAGTGAGCCGAGATTGCGCCACTGCACTCAGCCTGGGCGACAGAGCGAGACTCCGTCTCAAAAAAAAAAAAATAAATAAATAAATAAATAAAAGTTCTTGCATTCTACAGTTGGTCATATTCTTGCTTTGACTGATTTTCCAGCGGCTGTGCAGTTCTGAAGATGACTTTAGTGATGTTTTTTTTTTTTTGGGAGACAAGATCTGCTCTGTGCGCCCAGGCTGGGTGACAATCTTCGGCTTTCGCTGCAGCTCGCTCCATCTCGGCGTGGCGCAAACTACTGGCGCCAGCCTGCGCCGGCTATTTTTTTCTGTTTTGAGCGAGTTCACCTTGTGATCGCCCGCCTCGGCCTGCTGAGTGTCCACCGCTGTGTTTATTGTTAGGAAAGAAAAAGCAATTTCCTTGCAAGTTGCTACTACAGGCGCCCGCCACTGCGCCCGGCTAATTTTTTTTTCTATTTTTAGTAGAGACGGGGTTTCACCATGGTCTCGATCTCCTGACCTTGTGATCCGCCCGCCTCGGCCTCCCAAAGTGCTGGGATTACAGGCGTGAGCCACCGCGCCCGGCCGACTTTGGTGATTGTTAAAGGAAAAAGAAAAAAAAAACAATTTCTTGCAAGTTGCTAGCTGCAGGGGGTGGGGAGCTCTGAATGGATCAGGGGGACATTCCTTGGTGAGAACAGTACTCAAGTCATCCATCTCGTGACATTGTCCCTGTTCAGCTTGATAACTCATAGCTCCACACACGTTCCAGATGGTGCCTTGTGTTGGATGACCCTGGATGCTGTCTCATCTGGCATTGCTAGCTATCTCCTGCTGGCTGCAGGCCTGTGGGCCAT